ATTTATTTATTTATTTTTTGGCAGAACCGGGGATTGAACTCAGACCCTTGTGCTTGCCAGGGAAGCACTTATTCCACTGAACCATCTCCCTGGCCCCAAAACTACTACTTTATAATAAGGCAAAATTAAAGTTAAGATACATTTCCAGTGAAATACTCTGGATTAAAGTCCTGAACCATGTTCTGGTTGACTTATCACTTCACAAAGGGATGTTAAATTGGATGAAGGGACAAAAAATATTGTTCTAAACAATATGCAATGTATTAATTATTGAAACTATCCTACAAAATCAGATTTGAAACTGTCTCATTGCTATTTGTTTCTCAATAAAATTATGGAGGAAAAAAAAGAAATTCAAAGGAGAAAAAAATCAGTAAAAAAAAATATCATTAACAGATTCATGCATTTAAAAGAGAGATACAACAAATAGGTTGAAAGGATCGCAAGAGTACTTGAATGGCTAATGAAGTTCAACTGTAAATAAAGGATGCTATATTGAATAAAATCAGAAGACAAACAGAGGGCACAGGGTAGCAGGGTGAGCCCAGGAGGGAAGAGACTGAGTAATTAGCAGCAGCAGGTGTTGAGAATACTGAATCTTGCAGTTGCCAAGATTCTCAGCCAATATCACAAAAGATTTTTTGTTCAGATGATAACTTCTAAATAACAGACCTTGGGCTTAAACACCTTTGTAGGTTATTCCATATGTCATGCATGCTGCTTTCTAATGGTTAATATTGTTTATAGTCCTTCCCACAGTAACTTTAGTTTATCAAGTTTACTGCAAGTTCAGCAGATATGGACTTCTTACTTTTTGAAGTTATAGTTTTTTTTTTTTAAAAATAAATATTTGTATATGGTAGCCTATATGTGGACATCTGATATATAATTTTAAATTTCATTAATTAAAGTTTCTGCCACTGAATTGTAACAGTAGACAATGCATTACCAAGGTAGACATGCTTTGCCAATACATTAATGCTTTAAGTGGTCTTTATTATACACAGCCTGGGAAGCCTAGATTGCTACTACTTACACTAATAATTTCTATGTGCTTGCTCAGTTTTTATAATGTCTGAGAGTAATTGTAGAAATTTTAAAATATCCTATTGTGATTTTTATTGGAATTACAAAAAATCTAGCATGCTAGTCATATGATATTCTTTTCCCATTTAAAAATCATCTAAAGAAGTTTATAATATTTTTCCTTCCTATAAAGTCGTAAGAAACAGTGTTTTTTTTTTTTTTTTTTTTCGTGGAACCAGGGATTGAACTCAGACCCTTGAGCTTGCCAGGAAAGCGCTTATTCTACTGAGCCATCTCCCTGGAAACAGTGGTTTTAAAATAAGTTTTATGATTGTTGCTATTATGCTGGAAATTTGTTTGGGCATATTCTCCTGCTAGTTCTTCCTAGTGTAGAGAAATGTAGATTTTGTATTTTAATCTCTTATCTCCTCAAGTTTAATTTTACAGCCAATTTCTATCATTTTATTTTTTTCCCTTTTTTTTTTTTTGGTGGAACCAGGGATTGAACTCAGACCCTTGTGCTTGCCAGGGAAGCGATTATTCCACTGAGCCATCTCCCTGGCCCCAGTTTCTATCATTTTAAAGCTAAATATAAAATATTCTTTTCTAAG